TGATTTACTGATAAAAGCGTCTAAACCGCCCAGTTTTTTGCCGGTTTTTCACCGTTCTCGAAATTTGTTGAAAACCGGCCGGTCTTTTTGCCGTTTTTCACCGGTCTAAAAAGATTTTTGGGCCGGCTGGTCACTGGTCGGTCCGGTCCGGTCTGCTGTTTTGAACCGGTTGTTTGCCGCTGCTGTTTGCCTCTTATTTTTAGACCGGTTCCAACTCTAAGAAGACCAGCTATTACACCTCGTTCCATTATCCTATTTATATCACCACTAAGTAATGCTTGTGCATCTTGAATTCGATCTGGTAATTGTTTAACTACATCAATCGCTTTCTGATCAACACCAGCCATAGTCATACTATCGATAACAAGTTGAATGGCTGTTTCAAAAGTGAATCCATCTTTAGCAAATTTTCTAATCGTTTGAACAGGAAGAACAGCCATTTGCCCTAGTTCCAACATTTTATCAATATCACCACTAACTAATGCTTCAGCATCTTTGATTCGTTCTGGAAGTTTCTTAACAAAATCAACAGTCTTCTGATCAACACCAGCAAGTGACATTCCAGCCTCAGCAAGTTGGGTTAAGTTTTCTACTGTAAATCCATTTTTATCGATTTGACGAACAGCATCAATAGCAACTCCAACCATCTTAATTTTTTCTTATGATGCTACTGCTTCAAGAGGTCCACCAGGAGTGAATAATAATTTTCCATATCTAACTACTTTACCTTCCAAATAATTGGCTAGATCAAAATCAGCTGTAATGTTAGTCGCTAAAATTTATGTAGAAAAACAAAGTTCAGATTTTGTTTTTCAAAAGAAAATCTTATTAAAAACTTACCAACAGCTTTATAAACATCAAGAGCTCCATCAAGAATTAACGATGTACCTAATCTGAATTGACCTTGTAAGCATAAATAAGCACCACCAACAATTTGTGCAACTCCCATAACAAATACAAATACAGTTTTCCACCAACATCGTTTTACTTGAATAACAAATACATAACGCAACAACAAACCTTCATGAAGCCATTCTTTACGTTCGGCATGTATATCGTTTGTTAATGGTTCCAGTTTCGTACCTTTTAAACACTCCCATGTTTCTGGCCATTGTTCTAATTTACAGATTATCGTCTCGTTATTTTTATCGAATTGTTTTAATTGTTCACGACTCTGTTCAAAAATTGAATTAACTATTTGAAGATAGATCAATTCAGCAAGACTTGTTTGATCGACAGGTTCATTCTTCTATAATTAGGATAAAAAGTCGAATTTTCGTTCCTTAGTTATTCTACGTACTTGTGTTTCACTATCATCAGATATTGGTGGATCGTGAAAGATTTCTAATAATTTACGTGTTTCAATTGCTACGTTCAATAATTTAATTGCTCGATCGAATACTTGTATAGCCTCATTGATAGGTCTTTGATTATTTTTAATATAGCATGGTATTGTATTATAATGTGCACTGAAATCTTCTGAATCAATTTCCAATGCACGTTTGTATAGGCCTAATGCTACTTCTCTAGTATCGTCGATATCATTCGTACACAAAGCATGAAAACCAGCATAAATGAAATATTTTGGATGAACAATTAAATGACTTACTGCTTGAAATGATCTTGTGATTAATCATTATCATTTTCGGAAGAATCTCGTCTAAAATTTCAATGGATTCTTTCATTTGCCTTTCAACTCGTTTCTTAAATTGTGAAAAACGTTCTTCAGCTTCAGTGTGATTTTTGTGACAAAATGAAGCCCATGATTCACGAAGTGAATGAAAACCTGGTTTATACTTATCATTAGTAAATGGTAATTTGTTTTTTTTTCGAATGAACCAAATCGAGAAAACGAACAAGAAGTCGATCTTTCGCTTCGATTCGTTGAACTTCTGTTATAGCTTCATTCATATCACTTTTTTCCTGTTGATTTCGTACATCTCTCCAACTCTCGATTAATATAGTTTCATCCATATTTTCGTTGATTTGAAGAGCAATATTTTCATTATAAACAACTAAACGAGCTGAACCTGGTTGACCTTGTCGTCCTGCTCGACCAAATGCTTGTTGTTCAACACGAGAATTTCTTGGCATAAATGTAACAATAACATGTAAACCACCTTTATCATTGACAGCTGTCATTGTTTTCAAATCAGTTCCTCTTCCAGCTAGATTTGTAGCAAGAATAACATCATCCGAATGAACTTCTTCTGGTTTAACATGTTCAGATAGATCACTACGAAGATATAATTTTAATTGGGGATGTTGAGAAATTAATGCTGATCGAACATCTTCAGCATCACAAATTGTTTCACATATAATTAGAACTGCTCGACGTTTAACGGTCGCTATTTCATAACATTCTTTTTGAATGTTTTCCAACCATTTTTGACGATTTAGACTAAACTGACCTATTAAAATAATACTTTCGTAACTAGAAAAAAAGATATTGAAACTTACTTTGATAAATATCGAAAACACTATTAATATATTTCGGTATATTTACAGTATCGATTTCATAGACAGATTCAATAAATTTTCTTGCATCCTTCCCGCCCAATGTTCCTGGTACTCCATATAAATGTGGTTGATATCGTTTAAAAAGAGTAACATTTGAGAAAAATGAATCACACATACGTTCTGGTGTCATACGTAAATTATGTTTTAATTCAAGAAATTGATGTACACCATCACTCCAATGCATATTTATATGACTTACCCCAGTATTTGCATAACCTACAACAAGAATTCATCGATCTTTACTAATAACATAATCAACATTGAGCGTTAATTCATAGAGTGCTCGTCTTGCACCCCGAATCCGTTTGGGTAATTTAGCATTGATATATTCTTGACGATAAGTTGGATAATGAACAAGTTCTTTTTCAGCCAATTTTTTTCGAATAAACTCAACAGCATCGACTAAAAAGAATTTAAAATCTTCAATATTCATGAAATTTTCTTATTTTACCTTTAGAAAAGCCATTGCAGCAAACTGAAGAACTGTTCCATAAATAATATTAACATTATAATCTGGCGTTATAGAAGGTTCATGACAATTATGTCCAACTGAAAGACCAAACATACGATAGAAAGGTGCAAATTCATCAGCATCACGTTGAGCAAGAATTTCCGATGTTGTAATTATATCAACATGTTTATTCAATAGAGGACGTGAGAGATAAACAGTCACTTTAGACGAAGAAAAAAATGAACAAGATGTATGTGAATAAAATCAAAGGTAAACTTACATATTGAAACAATAATAGATTTACCTTCACCGGTACGTATTTGTGCTAATCGTCCATTTTCAGATTTATCAATCAGAAGAAGAAGAGATAAAATTTGAATATCTCGAGGACGATATTGTTTATAAAGATGTGTAGCTTGAATAATAATTGCAACTTTTTTATGTTCATCATTACATTTATGATTTGTTTCAATATCTGTTGATGTCCAATTTGATATTTCTCCTTTGTAATAATTCATTACTGTTTCATATTGTTTTCGTAATTTTTTTATATTTAAAGATGGATTTTCGTTGACTAATTCTGCTAGAAGTATATCAACTGATTTGGCTTTACCTTGTTCATCTACAATTTTGTTTAATACATTCATCCATTGTTCGACTGGATTTTTCTTAATTGTTTTAACAATTCGATCGATATGTATCTGTGAAGAGATTCCGCTTGTAATAATCGTTTTAATGATAAGCAAGGCTGTTTTTAATGATGAAATTTTGTAATATATTTCTGGACTCGTGAATTTATTTTTAAGAGAAACAATATCTGATTGTTGCCATTCTAGTTCATTTAATTCATGAAGATTTTCTATTAAAATTGACTGATAGAAATCCAATGGTTCCTCTTTTGGTACAAGAGCTAGCGATGTTTGTGTTGTTATTGGCAGTGCAGCACACGAAAGAAGTTCATGGGTGAGTTTCACGTCTCCTTTACGAGGACGATCAATTTCACTAAATGATATGACAGATTATTTGTTTCAAGTCTCAAAATTAACTGAGAAATTCAATCAGAGTCAGGTATTTCTATGATAGAACAAGCATACGGGTTTCATTAATCATTATAAAGTTTTAACCCTGTTAATGAGCAGATGGTAGCTGCTCAAGGAGGTAAGTGCTGACTGGATTCCGTAGCATCTCAGCATCAATTTGGTATCTGGGTATCTCGGCACCCATTCAGCATCGCAGCATATGCTCGGCATCGATCTAGCATCTAAGTATCTATCCTGCATCTCAGCACCCGTATCAAAGGATTGATGCCAGCTTCCAGCATCCAAAAATAGTGGGGAGTGCTGAATGGATGTCGAGATGCCAAACAGGTGCTGAGGCTCGACTAGGGGGGGGGGAAATCTCATTCCCGCATTCTGGTGCATTCCCAGCCATTCTCAAGCATTTCCAGCCATTCTCAGGCATTCCCGGTCATTCTCTGCCATTCTCTTGCATTCTCGCACATTCTGGATTATTTCTATATATCCAAAAACTATTTCTAACTACTGTATTGGAAATTAAAATCTTTAATTGCTTCTGAGCTGATTATTTCATTATTCGATGGATGCTAACATAAGGGGTAAAATCGCATTTGAAAACTCGGTATTCCGATGCATACTTCTGCATGCGCACACGTTCCGTTGCATTCACATACATTCCCGTGCGTTCTCTTACATTCACACACATTCTCCTGCATTCCCGCACATTCTCTCGCATTCTATGGCATTCGGAATGTCCGGGAATGAGATTTTTCCCCCTTAGGCTCGACTGTATTTGGTCTACATTAACCGATTTTACCTCAGCACCTCAGGATCCTGTCAGCGTCTCAGAATCCTGTCGGTATCTCAGCATTCATTCAGCATCTTGGCACCCATTTAGCACCTTCCGCCGTTTTTGGATACCGGATGCCTGCACTTATCCCCTTGTAGCTGCTCTTCGTGATTATTTACTACAAAAAAAACTGCCGATTTTGTAGAAATCATCTTCCAGATTTCGCCAGTTGCTTGTAAAAATCACTCCTAGTATTTCATGTAGAACTCATGTATTTTTTGAAGAAAAATAAGTTAGTGTAATTTTTAAGTCAAGAAATTTTGGATTCTTTGTACTCTTCCTCCTTTAGACACAAATCTCCGTTAGAGGCAGTCCCCATATAGACAATACTCCATTACCAACAGGGTTTTTGTCGCAGATAGACTATGCGAATTCAACATTTTATCCCCATAGGGCTTTGCTGAAAAGCTGTTTTGATCTGATTTCTAAAAGCTAAAACTTACGCTTTTTTTCTATGTACAGAAGAATTCATAATGCACAATTGTCGAGCAAAGTTAGTTGGGCGTCCCGAATGAACTAGAATCACAAAGGAAAGAGAAGACAAAATATACTAAAAGTGATTGGTTGCCTTCTCATCCGATATCATATATCACCACATCAATGACATCGCCTTATGAAAGAAAGAAATCGAAGCTTCTGATCTCTGAACTCAGGTGTGTAGAACCACTATGCATTTTCCGAATCATGACCGAAACTTATTTTATTAAATATATATTAATTACTAACGCACAGTGGGCATTTAGGCGGCGTTTTCTGAAAAAATCGTAGGTGCGAATTTTTTTGTTTTGAATAGTGGTGTATATAGTATAAACAATTCCCTATTTAATGATAAAAATTTTTTTGTT